TTGATGTTAATATAATAATAACTAATGGCCAAGCCCTTATTATCACAAACTCTTAATTTGGTAGCTTCACTATTTTTTATTTCACAGAAATATAAATCGTACCGAAGGCTTTTACTGGAATATAGTGCTGTGTAGGTTGACAAAAAATGTATAAAAATCAAAAAAGGAATCTAAAAAGATTGTGCCTAGAAGTTGAATGATGAATCAGATTATATTTTTAATGAACTTTATTCGTTGTTAATGAAAAATACTTTAAAAGTGACAAAAAAAAGAATTATTTGTCAAAAGTCACTTTATCATCAAAAACTTGTTTTAATCACAATCAGTAACAAATTTTTGTATTCGATGGTTAGATCTATCGGCAGCATAAAGATTACCCTGTTGATCAAATGATAAGTCTTCTGGCTCCGTGAGTTCCGTGGGTCCCCATCCATATTGTTTTTTACCAGCGATAGGAGTGCCTTCTATTGCGTATGGCGACCAACGCATTATTTGATGACGATCCCGATTTGACACATAAAGATTACCCATATGATCAATAATCACACCGTTCGGAGGAAATAGTAAATTGGAATTGTTGATAGAAACTTGTCCAGGGGCAACACGAATGCCTTCGGTCGTATTTTTCATCCATTTGACTACACGATTATTTATGGTATCTGCTACATAAACTGAATATGATTCATCGACAAAGATAAACCTAGGATTAGCGAGTTGATTTAATTGATTTCCCTGTCCATTTCCACCTGCTACAACTGTACCTATTTTATCTCCTTGGTGAAAACGTCTGACTGCATCCTTTTCCACGTCAGAAATATAAAGATCTCCATTATTATCCATTGCTAAACCCAGGCAAACGATATCATGTATTAATATTTGTTGATCTTGACTATTTTGACGAGACCATCGCATCACTCGTTGGTTAGCATGATCACAAATAATGAGATATTTCTTCTCTTTATCAAGAATTACATCCTGTGGATGACTCAATTGGTTTATCGCATCTCCAGGTCCATTTCCACCTGCAACAATTTCACCATTCTTTGCATCAAATTCCCATCTAACAATACGATCGTTGCTACTGTCAGCAATATAAATACTTTGATCATCATTATCGACATAAATACCATAAGGAGCATTTAACTGATTTAATTCATGTCCTTGTCCATTTCCTCCAGCAACAGTAATTGCATTTTGTTTCCATTTCGTATTGTTATTAATGATAACAGAAGGAAGTATTTGTTCTATAAAACATGAAAAAACATTTCAATTTATTCTCTTTTTTTTCATCTAAAAATTATTTCTTAAAAATAAAACGTGTTTTTTTATTCAACATATTGTTTCTATGTCACTGCATATAAATTACTAGAATGTACGTGTATATGTATGAACTATAGATTCGATATCACTTTCTAATTTATTTTTCAGTGGACCTTTCGATATTATTCTACAAAAGTATGATCTATGACTATCAATTATCGAATAAAAAACTATTTTATGTCATCATTCGAATAAAATCACTAAGATTGAATTTAAAAAAAATACTTTTAAAGCTAGTTTCTCTTTTCTGAATTCTTTCAAATAAGAAACAAACTAGTTCTAATAAAATCATACTACTTGTTCTCGTTGATGTTGTTATCTTGGCTGTTGTTGTTGATGTTGTTATCTCTACTGTTGTTGTTGTCACCTTTGGTGTTAATCCTTTTTTCATTTTTCTTTTGTTCTGTGTAATAATAATTCCTGGAATAACTATAACTACATCGATAAAAACAATCAAAATTATTATCCACATTAATTTTCTCTTTCGAAAATGTTCATAACTTCAGAAAATAAATTATTTTTATAATTTATCGTAATTCATAATATATACATACAATGTTCGTAATCGTGTTTTATTAGAATTGACTTCAACAGACTAAAATATTCAAAAAGAAAATAAGATTATTTGTTTTCTATTTAATACATTACTTCATCAACTCCAACTCTGTTATTCATGTTCACAGTTGTTCTTCTCTCTAAACTTGAATATTTTTACAATCTAAAATCAAAAAAAAAAACTGTTATTCTTCAGAGATCATTGATTCATATTGATATAATTATAGAAAATATAAACTATCTCTCATTGAATATTGTTTTTTTATTGATGAGATATGATATATTTCATTCATTAATCGATTTAAATCAAAACAAAACATTGTTAAGATAAAGTTTTGATTTATTTTTATGTGAGGTAAAATGATATATATTTCCCTACTTGTAATCAATGAAATAGAAATAATTTTGCATGAGTTAAATAAAAACAAGTTTTATCTTAAATAATCAGTTGAGAATATTATGATATTTGAAACAACAAAAAAATCTTATATCAATAGAAATATTAATTTTATTTCCTTTTTCAAAGTTAGTTTTGAATAAAATACTGGCAGATGTGAGTTGTTATCTTATATTAATGTGAAAACTCTTTTGAATAAAATACAGAAGTAAATTATTTATTATGAATATTTAGAAAAATAAAAAGAGAAAGTGAGAGAACAATGTAAAAATACTGCATATAGGACACATTGCGAAGAATGAAAAAAATAGATTATTTGCTGTTAGAAATATGTTGTATTTAACACGTTTAACATGATTCACGTTTTTGGAAAACTTTTCTAGATGTTCATTTTCATCACCATCTAACTTTAAAAAAATAGTATATTTAATGCTGTCTTCATAAGCTTTGACTGATTATGTATCGTTTTCTTTGCATGGTTAGGGTGTGAGTGTGTGTGAGTGTGGGTGTGGGTGTAGGTGTGGGTGAGGGTGAGTATGGGTGTGGGTGCGATTAGGTGCTAGTAGAGTATCGTAATCCCACAACTACACCTGCACCCACACCCATACCCACACCCACACCCACACCCACACCCACACCCACACCCACACCCACACCCA